GAGGAGTTAGGAGTTAAGGCGCTCACGGCTCATTGTGGCACCCAGGCGGCCTCGGAGCTCATTGGCCCAGCACGGCCCTGACTCAGCCCGGGAAGCACCGGGGCGGGCAGGTGTCCGCACCCCGAAACAGCAGCACCTCTCCGGAGCCGCGGGCAGCGTGGGTACAGCCGACGGAGCCGGTGCGGACGGCCTGCCAGGATGGTGCTCAGGGCGGAGGGCAGCGGTGAGCCCCGGCCCGGGGATGTGGGGAGGCTGGTGGGGCTGGGGCAAGGGGCGGGCAGGCAGGTGGCTCCGCGTCTGCCCCACTCCCGTGCCACTGGCCCTGCCTGCTTGTCTCGGGGCAGTGGGGTAGGAAGGAGCACGGGGGGGGCGAGCATGGTTTCTGCATGGGGGCCTTTGCTCTGTGCTGGGCATGGCAAGAGTGGGGGATGTGCTGCTGCTCCTGCTTCCAGCTGCCACAGGCCCCGGCAACCTTGGAGCCCGGGACAGACAGGACGAATTCTGCCGGTGCCCCTTGCTGCCCTCCTGTTGCTGCCGGTGTGCAGGGTCCTCAGGCTCGGCTGTCAGCAGCAGGAGCTGCGGGAGCCCCCGGACCCTCTGCGCTGGGGCCTCATGCTGGTGGGGAGCAGGCGTCAGCGCTGGGATCCCCACAGTCCCATGGGTCACTGTGCCCCAACTCCTGTGCCGGGATGAAGCCGGGGCAGCGAGCGCCTGCTCTGGCCTCCCCTTCCCTGCAGCCTGCAGCAAGGCTTGCCAGCCTCTTGGGAGCCATTTGGGCTCCGCTCAGTGCTGTGGGGCGGGTGCTGTGCAGAGTGCTGGGGAAGAGTTAACGCCCTCTTCCTTCCCCAGAAAAGCTCTTGCGTCTGGGGTTTCTCTTCCTCTGGCTGCTGCTGACATGGCTGGGCCGGTGTCACGAGTGCTCGCCCTCCACCACAGCAGCGTGGGTGGGGAAGGACCTTCCTGGGCTCCGGTACAGACCCGCTGGCCCCCTCTGCCCTGCAGCCTCTCATTCTCTGCTGCACCTGCCCCGGGGCCTGCCGAGACCCCTGCTCGCTCACAGGTGGGCAGGGGGAGGCAGAGCTGCTCCTGCCGGGGCTCTCTTGCTGCTTGTCAGCTGAGTACCAGCGGGTCCTTTTCCTGGCTTCAGCCTCCCACTCTTGGCTGGCTCGCCTCAGGGCAGGTCCAACCCTGGCACTGAATTTCACCTCCCCTGCAGCCACGGCCAGGCGGGAGGGTCCTGCGGTGTGTGCTGCAGCCCAGGGCTTTAGGGGGTTTTGTGTCTGGCAACGGGCATGCGATACAGCTCAGCCCTCCCGCAGCAAGCCTGGGCTTGCCGGGTGCCCTGGGTGCCGGGCAGGAGGGGCCGAGCGCCTGCGGGAACGGCACTGGGGTGCTGTTGGATGTATCAATAAGGCAAGGCCTCTGGTATTTTAAGTTTAAATAACTTTTAACCTGGTGCCATGAACGGGGTTGTCTGGTTCATACTTCCTAGCGTCGGAGACTGAAAATATTGGGAAGTGTTGCCGTCGCGTCTGGACGGATGGTGTCGCAAGCCGAGGCTGCCACTGACCTTGGCAGTGGGGGATTTTTGCGAAGGAGGAAGCTTGTCAGAAAGCCTGAGCAGAGCCAGGAAAGTGCTGAGTTCAGAGATTCGTTTTGAGTGGTCACGATTGCCCCAGGGGTGCACGCGGCTCCCACGGAGGAGGCGGCGGCTTGGGGAGAAACGATGCGCAGTTGAGGACGGTGCTGGTCTGAAGACACATGGCGTCCCTGGGCGTTGGTACGGGGCAGGCAGCCACGCTGGGGACATTCCGGGTGAGTCCAGACTAGTGGCAGCGGTGGCCTGGAGACCACAGCCGTGGTGGCACGTGGGGCCACAGCAGAATGGAGTGGTAATGTTTGGGGAAGGAGAGGGCGGTGGCAGCCCTGCCGCACGCCTGTCCCCAGCACCCCTGGGCAGGAGACGGCACGAGGGCCGAGCTGGTGGGTGCTGCCGCCACCTCCCTCGGGGACAGCGCTCTGGAGGGACGGTGCTTTGGTGTTTTCATGGGCAGCCTTGGTGTGGCATGCAAGGGAGCTGCTGGAACCTGCTGGCAGAGGTGGGAGGCACAGGCGGTAGACGAGGGCCAGGAGTGCTGCAGAAGGAGCGGGTGACCTTGGGGATGGGAGGGAACAGAAATGGGATGCCATGTCACTGCGGAGCAGGAGGTCACGCACCGGGGAGCACCAGGAATGTCCCGGGAGCTGCGGGGCTTGGGAGCAAGGGGTGGCGTGTGGGGGCCCCGGGCTTGAGCCTCGGAGATGGTGTTGGGGGACGTGCCTGGCTCCCGCAGGGTGACAGGGAGGTGTAGATGGCACGGCATGTGGGCGAGGTTTGTCCGGAGGGCGTGCCGGCTCCAGGCCCTGGCTCAGAAGGACAGAGGGGGCTGCAAGGGTGGCTAGGAGCTGTTTTTTTCTGGGGCTGGCCTGGTGCGGCAGAGCAACCCGCGGGGCTCCAGGTCTGTGCGGAGCCCAGTACAGCGGCGCACAGACGAGCGGTCAGCAGACAGCAGAGCCGCCCAGCCACAGCAGGGACCAGGACAGGCACAGCCCGGCTAGGGTAGAGCAGAGTTAAACTGGACTTGGCGGGGCGGCAGGGCCAGGGCCGGGGCCGGGGGGAGGAGCGTTGGAGCTGGTCCAGGGGCCGTGCTGGTCCTCGCTGCCCTCGCTGCCCAGCCACCGCAGGCTGAATCAGCAGGAACCAGAGGTGCCCGGCTCCCCCGCTGCAGCCGCTGCCGCAGCCCAGTGGGGCAATGCCCTGGCCCTCACATTCCTCGCATGCCGTTGGTGGCACTTGGCTGCTGTGCAGGGCCGGGGGCACTGCTCGCTGGCCCAGCTCCTCTGGGCAACCGGCCGCTCCACGTCCCAGCTCCTGACGGGCCCTGGGCTGCTGGCCGGGAGCAGGGGCTGTGCCTGGAGCCTGGCAGGGATGATTCCCATGGCTGCGCGTGCTGACCTGACCGTGTCTCTGCTCAGTGCCCAGTGACTTGACCCCAGAGGAGTGCCAGGAGCTGGAGAACATACGCCGCCGCAAGCAGGAGCTGCTGGCTGACATACAGGTGTGATGCTGAGGGCCACTGCCCGCACGCACAATTCCCCTGTCCGGGATGTGGCAGCCTCTTGCTCGGGGCTGTCCCCTGGGAGGGAGGGGACAATCTCCCTGTCTGTGTCACTGGGCAGGGTCCCTGCAGTCCCATCCAGGGTCCCTTGCCCCGCTGCTGGGAAAGGGGAGGGTGGCCCGGGTGAGGCAGGGAGGAGGCTGCCCTGGCCAGGGCTGTCTGTAATGGCTGGGGGATTGGGGTGCAGTGCCCCAGACCCACAGAGCCCGTGCAGGAGCAGGCCCAGGCAGGGCCGTGGGTCGAGTTTGTGCTCCTGTCCCCTTTCCTCGCCAGCCCCCCTCTCCTTGTGGCCCGTGGGGACTCTCGTGGACCTTCTGGGGCAGAGGATTGGAGCTGTTGGAACCGCAGGGCAGGGCGAGCTGGGCCTGTGGGGCGGACACCAGCGGCTGCTGCAGGGAGCCCGTGATCTGCTGCCCCGCTGCCCAATAGCACCGCCTCTGCGGGGCCCTGGGGCTGGAGAGAGGGTCCCAGCAGGGGACGTGGGCCTGGGCTGGCAGCTGGCCTGCCCTTCTGGGCCGAGGCAGCCGTGGCTTTTCCTTGCGCCCCGCAGAGCTCCGGGCCGCGTGCCTGGGCTGTTCCCCACGGCCCAGGGCACCCACGTCTCCGTGCCAGCCCCTCCCTGGCACGGGCAGGGACCGTGTCTCTGGGCCAGGCCACTGCCCTGGCAAGCGACTGCGAGGTCAGTGCTCATCTGCGACACTCGTCAGTCATGTCCCTGATTAAGGCAGCAGAGGCTAATTACTGCCATATGCTGGGCATGATCTAAAGGGATTAGGGGGTAATTTTGTTAACCTCTGAATCTCTTCCTTCCTGCATGCTTGGAGCATGGTGATGCTGCAGGGAGATTAGCAGCAGGGTGCAGCCAGCCCCCTCTGCAAGTGCCCCCTGAGCTGGTTTGGCCCCAGGGCAGCACTCGGGGTGGGAAGGAGGGAAGGAAGGAGGGGCTGCTGGGGCCTCCTGGGGGAATGGCCCCGGGCTACCGTCAGGGCTGGGGTGCTGGAGGGTTTGGGAGGGAGGGAGGCACCTCCTGTCTCAGTGCGCTCTCTCCCCTCAGCGGCTGAAAGATGAGATAGCAGAAGTGACGAACGAGATCGAGAACCTGGGGTCCACGGAGGAGAGGTGAGTCCTCTGCTGTCACAGCAGCCCAGGGCCCCTGGTGAGCCCCCTCCCCTGCGGCGAGGCCAGCCCTGAACGCCGGCTCACTCGCACCGTGTGGGAGCCATGGGCAGCTGAGCAGTGCAGCCCCATCCCGTGAGTGCTGGTGCGGGTGGCTTTCCCAGGCACTCTGAATTCCTTGGAGTGGTAGCAGAATCCCAGTCTGAACTGCTGCTCCAAAGGTCTGTTTTTCCAAGCCTCAGCCCCTCTGTCTGGCCACGGCGACTGTTGGACTTTGTTATTCTGAGCTGGCGCTGGCGGTGCCAGCCTGGGATTAGGGGGTCCCGGCAGCTGACGGGAGCTGACTCCCAGCGTCATTTCCAATCATCCATTGGGGCATGAAGGCTGTCACCCTTGCGCCAGCCCCACTGGGGCCCGAAGGCTGCTCTCCCCAGAGCACCGCCGCACCCAACTTGCCCTAGCCTCCCCCCATGCAGAGGTGACCTGCTGGGATGCTGTACCCAGCACCCCTTCTGCACGGGGTGACCCCGTGGACGGGGCACAGCAGCTCCTCTTTGCTCTGGGGCCTGGCAGGCTGAGAGCAGCCCCATGCTGCTGGGCCACGAAGTGGGACAGAGACGTGGAACAGTGTGCCAGCTTTGCCCCGTGCAGGTTTGACACAGGGGGCCTGGCTCGGTCAAAGTTGCTCGGCTCACGTTCGGTCCAGGCTGACCCCTCCCCGCAGTGCTCTGTCCAAGGGGTGAGGGGGCGGGCAGGAGGCAGCCAAGTCCCTCCTGGGTGCTCAGAGCTGCTTTGTGCCTCGCAGGAAGAATATGCAGAGGAACAAGCAGGTGGCCATGGGCAGGAAGAAGTTCAACATGGATCCCAAGAAGGTACTGCGGGGTGGGCCGGGCGGGGAGCGGGGCAGTTCACCAGCCCGTCTGGGGCCGTGCTGGGCTCTGCCACCTCACGGTCCAGGTGCCTGGCCACCCGCTGGGGCCGGGGCAGAGCCAGCACCCAGGGCAGGGGCTGGGGAGGCAGCAGGCAGGCTGGCGGGGTCAGCAGCAAGCCCCAGAGCAGCACCTCTTGCACCACTCCAGGGCATCCAGTTCCTGATCGAAAACGACCTGCTGAAGAACACGTGTGAGGATATCGCTCAGTTCCTTTACAAGGGAGAGGGCCTCAACAAGACAGCCATCGGTGACTACCTGGGCGAGAGGTACGCTGGCCTGGGGTGGCTCGGGTCTCCTGAGGGTGCCCTGGGCTCTCACTGCCTGAGAGATGGGACACTGCAGCTCTTGGAGCTTACAGGGCAGCTGAGTGGGGGTGCATGCGGGCCTGGACACCCTGAGTGCTAGGGCCAGCTGGGGGGCTGTTCAATCCATGGCTGGCACTTGCGAGAGGCCAGTGTGTGCAAACCAGCCCAGGACTCGAGTAGGAGGTAGCTGCAGGTTTCCCCCAAAAAATGAGCAGAGTCTGGAGCAGGGCAGGGAGACGTGGGGCTGCTCGGCAGTCACAGGACTTGTTGATCATGCATCCCTTGTGCTCTGGCTTTGTTCCCGCAGGGACGAGTTCAACATCCAAGTCCTGCATGCCTTCGTGGAGCTGCATGAGTTCACTGACCTCAACCTCGTGCAGGCTTTGCGGTGAGCAAAGGGGGCCGGGAGCTGAGCCGTGTCTCATCAGGGGAGACAGGCAGCGGGCTGGCAGGGGGCTGTAGCGACATGAGCATGGCTGGAGGGCACCGTGGAACCCCCAAAGCAGCGCGACGCCTCGCTCTTCGCAGGCAGTTCCTGTGGAGCTTCCGGCTGCCCGGGGAGGCGCAGAAGATCGACCGGATGATGGAGGCCTTTGCCCAGCGGTACTGCCAGTGCAACCCTGGCGTCTTCCAGTCCACAGGTGAGTGCCTGTCCCAGCCCCTCTCCCCGGCCATCCTGCCTCACAGCTGACTTTCCCCTCTGCCCCTGTAGACACCTGCTACGTGCTCTCCTTCGCTATCATCATGCTGAACACCAGCCTGCACAACCCCAACGTCAAGGACAAACCCACAGCGGAGCGCTTCATCGCCATGAACCGTGGCATCAACGATGGGGGGGACCTACCCGAGGAGCTGCTCCGGGTGAGGGACGGGATGCGGAGGAGCTGGGGCTGGGCTGCGGAGCTGGCCTGCCGCAGGGCTCCCAGGCGGAGCAGAGCTGACGCCGTGTATCGTTGTACCAGAATCTCTATGAGAGCATCAAGAACGAACCCTTCAAAATCCCTGAGGATGATGGCAATGACCTCACCCACACCTTCTTCAACCCTGACCGGGAGGGCTGGCTCCTGAAGCTAGGTGAGTGCTGGCAGCAGGGCAGATGTGGCCGAGGGAGGAGCTGGGCCGTGGGTGCTATGCCCCTGGGCTGCGTGCACCTCACCTGCTGGCCTGGCTCCTCGGAGCGTGGCCCTGTGGAGGGGCGAGAGGCTGGAGATGGGGGCACAGCCCCCATGGGGAAGGTGTCCGTAGGTCCAGCAGCACTCTGTCTTCCCTGGGCTGGTCAGCAGGTGCGGACTCACAGCTGATGAAGCCCTGCGGTGCGGCTGGGTGGGCATCTTGGGGGATTCTGCCTCTAGGTTGGGGAAGCCCTGGGGTGCAGAGCTGGTACCAGGGTCCGGTGTCGGAGCACAGAGACCACGAGGCCCTTCTCATTACCGAGTCACAGCAGGGTCCTGTTGGAGCAGGCCCCCGGGAGCAAGCGGCGAGCTGCCCCAGGTTGCGTGCGTCCCCCCCTCCATGCCACAGACCAGTCCCTGCCTCACCTTCCCACAGCATTATCACCTCCGCATCCCGGCTCCACATGCAGGCAGCATGCATGGCATCCCCGCGGCCCCACTGCACAGCCCGGCTCTCAAGGCCAGCGAGCCCGCTCCACGCCCTGGCTCCTGTGGCTTCTCCTCTTGGCAGCTCTGGGGAATCCTCTGCCTGGGTTAAGTGAGGGGGGACAACGGGGTGCTGGCAGGAGCAGGGTCTGGTGGGGGCCTTCCCCTGGGGCTCTCGCTGGGGTCAGGACTCTGTCCTCTCACTGAGGGGTGTTTCTGCCATATTGCCACCCCCTTGGGATGGGAGAGAGGCCTTACCCTCCCACCGTGCCCTGACCGGTGCAGAGCCCGGCCCTGGGGCTGAGCAAGGGCCATCTGCTCCCGGGCTCTGGGGTGGGGGAACACGGGGGAGAGCCCCAGACCTGCCTCTCCTGTCCCTGAGCAAGCCCAGCGCCCTGCTGGCAGAAGGGCCCCGTGCACGGCAGGTCGGCACCTGCCGCCATCGGGGCCATTGGAGGCTGGGGGGGCGGAAAGGCGGGCGAGCCGCCCTGGGCGCCAGCCCGGCTGCCGCAGCTCAGCCCACTCGTGGGGCAGGGAGGGACTCCACAGGGAGGCCATGGGGTGGGGGGAGCCAGGCCCTGCGCCCCCCACAACTGAGGAGATCCGTCCCACAGAGCCACAGCGAGCCAGGGCAGGTTGGCCCCCGTGGCAGTGCTGCCGGCCCGGCCCCTCACGGCTTCCCTGCTGCAGCCCTGCGCCACTGACCCGCGTGGGGCGAGGGGGGTTCTTTGGGGTTTCCTCTTTTTATTTTTTTTCCTTTTTTTTAATTTTCTTTTCTCCCTCATTTGTATGTTTCCATGATTTTGGCTCTTCCTTTCCTTGCCCCCAACTCCAGGAGGTACGTACCCCTCTCCCCGCTCTGCTCACGCCGCTGGGGCTTTGTTTCCTTTTCGTTTTTAATTGCTGGTGATTAGTCTCATTGCTGTTGCTGCTAACCACCCGCACCGCCCCGGGGACCTCGCCTGCCGAGGGGACAGCCCTGCTCCTGATGCCGCTAGGGCAGGGATGCGGGGTACCAGCAGCCCTGCTGATGCCGAACGCTCCCTGAGGCCTGCTGGCCCCCTTCGCTGCCCCGGCACACCCCATGGCCCTGGGGACAGACAGGGCCACAGATGCTCCTTGCCCAGCCACTGGCAGGGGCTGCCCGCCCGTCCGTGCTTCGCCGTGTTCGCAGGCAGCTCAGCCCGGCCGCAGTGGGTCTTTGCCTCCAGCGCCACAACGATGGGGATGAGTTTGGGGTGTCCTCGGGAAGGCCCCCAGCCCGTGCGCGGGGGGTCGGAAGGTGCTGAGTGCCTGGAGCTGGACGGGAGCAGGGAGCAGGCAGGAGCCGTCCATGCGGTGCCTTGTGCCGCGCCAGGGGCTCGTGGCTGGGTGCTGGTGCTGCCTTGGCTCCACCACCTGCAGCCCTGGGGTGTCGGGAAGCGTCGGTGCTCCCCCCTGGGGCTGTGCTGGCCCTCGGTCCCGTACGGCTCTGCAAGCCCTGCCCGATCCCACAGAGTCCTGCACCCCTGCAGGCCCTAAACCCTGGGCTCCTCCTGCGCTCGCTGTGCTGCGGGACCCTGCCCTGGCATATGGCCTCTTCCCACCCACAGCCCTGGGAGAGGAGGTGGCCCTGGGGAGGGCTGGGGGCTGGACAGAGTCAAGCCCTGGGTTTTGGGGTGGGCTTGGCTGGAGGGAGGCAGAGGGGGTTTTTCCTCTAGGAAGTGCTGGCCCCAGCCTGGCTCTGGGGCAGACCCTGGGTTGGGCGGCCAGCTGGCATGGGGGAGCAGGGAGGCACAGGGCCTTCCCAGTGGGGTAGGGGAGATGAGCACGGCCCCCAGCGCACAGTGCCTCCTCACATCTGTGCCGGCCCCAGGCAGCATGGCTTGGGTGCTCGTCCCACGGTGGCAGCATATCCAGCACCGCTGCGATGGCCAGAGCACACCGGCGCCGTGGAGGGGGAGCCAGGCCCAGGGGTGAGCAGTCCCTGAGCCCAGGGAGTGGCTTCTCCCTCTGCAGTGGCGGTTGTGAAACTCTCTCCGACCAAAAGTCTGCGAGCTGTGGCCCTGGGCTCGTGCCTTGCCCTGGCACTGGGCTGTGCTGGCCGGGATGCAGCGGGACCGTGGTCAGTGTGAAAAGAAAGCCCCTGCGTCCCCCTGAGAGCTGCCTGGCTGCAGAGTCCTCTGGCCATGCTGAATCAGTGTTTTGGGTGGGAATGGGCGCAGCGGTCCCAGCCCGGCCCCCCGCGCAACCCTCCACCTCCATCTTCATCCATCTGCTTTCCGCTCCTGCTCGTGCCCTGCCCGGCGTGGTGTGTGCTGCCTGCTGCTGCTGCGCCCGGCGCCAACCGGGCTGCCTGGCTCTGCTTGCGCCCCGGCGCCCGGTGCTTGTCTGTGTGTGTCTGCGTGGGCTCCAGCTCTGCCGTAGCCTCCATGTGCCGCGAGCCTCCAGGCGCGTGCCCCGGCCGCGCTCTGCCGGGGCTGTGCCCAACCTGCCCCTCTCTGCTCCCAGGAGGCAGGGTGAAGACGTGGAAGCGACGTTGGTTCATCCTGACCGACAACTGCCTTTACTACTTCGAGTACACGACGGTCAGTGACCTTAGCTCAGGGTATGCTGAGCTGGGGCAGGGAAGGGCGCCGGATCCGGCCCAGCGCTCATCTGCCCGCGTGGCACAGACCGGGTGCAGCATCCCGGCGCGGGGCTGGCAGCCTGCCTCCTGCCGCACTGGGGTGCTAGTGACTGTAGGGGTGCAGGACGCGGCCCTCAGGCCAGGCAGCACTAGATGTCTGTGCGGAGGGGTGTTGGGGATAGGGGTGTTTGCAACATCCAGCCCTGCCTGGGGCACGCGGGTGGGGTTTGGAGGTGTTCAGCCTGCAGCTAAAGCCTTTGCTTGGCCCCACCAGGATAAAGAGCCCCGTGGCATCATCCCCCTGGAGAACCTGAGCATCCGCGAGGTGGAGGACTCGAAGAAGCCCGTGAGTGCGGCAGCAGGGTCCCCGGGGCTGGAGGGGCAGCCCTAGTGCTTTGGTTGGGGCAGGAGCAGGGCACGGAAAGCTGGGAGGTGCTGCGGCCCCCGAGGGATGCCACCGGGAGAGGCGGGAGGGGCCCGCCGCAGTCGCTTCCTCCCCCCCACGAGGGATGCCACCGGGAGAGGCGGGAGGGCCCCGCAGCAGTCGCTGCCTCCACCCATCACAGCGGCCAGGTGCAGACCTGGGGCCAGTCACCGCAGTGGCCAGGGCTGGTGGCAGGGCATTCCTGGGGGCCGTGGGGTGACAGTCACAGCATGTCCATCCCTCTCTGCTGCATTGGGGGTGGCTGTGCCAGGGGAGTGCCTGCAGCCTCGGTGCTCCGCCTCATCCCTCCCAGTTTGGGGTCCCCTTTGGAAGCAGGGGCTGCCTCTGAACGCTCTCCTCCCTCCCAGAACTGCTTTGAGCTGTACATCCCTGACAACAAGGACCAGGTGATCAAGGCCTGCAAGACGGAGGCGGATGGGCGGGTGGTGGAGGGGAACCACACGGTGTACCGCATCTCCGCCCCCACGCCTGAGGAGAAGGAGGAGTGGATCAAGTGCATCAAGTGAGTGCTCAGAGGAGCAAGTGGCGGGGCGCTGGGCAGGGGCATGGTGGTGACCTGTCTGCTGCGCTTGAGGGGGGTGATGCTTCCCGGGGCACCCTGCAAGGATGGGGGGCAACGGGCTTTCCCAGGGGCACAAAGGGACCTGCCCGAGGCCCTGCCAGGCAGGTCAGACCCAGCCCTACAGCAGTTTTTGCCTGGCTGTACAGCTAACCCGAGCCCTCGTTCCCTCTGCCAGGGCAGCAATCAGCCGGGACCCTTTCTACGAGATGCTGGCTGCCAGGAAGAAGAAGGTGTCCTCCACCAAAAGACACTAGCAGCCTCCACTGGCCCTGCGAGGCTGGCATGCCCCTGGCAGCCTGAGCGTCTCCCCTCCCCAGAGGGCTGCAGGGCTGGGGCCACGCTGCAGCCTGATCCTCGGGGCCCAGGACCTAGCTTCAGCTTCGCAGTTTCTTTACCATGGGGCGAGGAAGGGGGCACAGGCGTCTTGGTGGCTCCGCGCCCGCCCCAGCCCCCATCACTGCCTCATCTCCAGGACAGCATCTTCACAGGCTGGAGCTGGGACAGCAACACCCCTGCACGCAGGGAGCCCCGTCCTGTCCCAGGCTCAGCTGCAGGAGGGGGAGTGCTGTGTGCGAGTACCGTCCTCCCCTTCTGCCTCAGCCAGCCAGGGCTGGGCAGTGGGGCGCCATGGACGCCCTCCCTGCTCCCGATCCCCCCAGCAAGCATGCAGCCACTTATGCTGCTGGGTCCCCCCACAGCACTCGTGTCCTGGAGCACTTGGGTGTCCTGTCCTCCCCTTCTGCCTCAGCAGGGCTGGG